ATTTGTATTTTATCTTGACAATATATCATGATTTATTACAGTATTTATCGAATATATAGTATCAAATATAGAATCGACTTAAGTTGCTTTTAAATTTCGTATCAACTTGGACTGCATTTGGAATCACGTTCCAACCTAAGTGGATTCTAAATCTACAATAATTTCGTTCCGACGTACAACATATATAAACTATAACATACAGTATAATTCAATATTTATTATAATTATTATATTTATATACTGTAAAATTATTTATTTAAACTTTTTAATTATCTCATTAATTTTTATTATTAATTAAATCTTTTTTTGGTTAAATAATTTGTATTTAAAAGTAATTTTATAAATTATATTTAGAGTAGCTTCTAAAATACTTGTAAATTAATAAAATTAAACCTATAGTAATTTTATTTTAATAGTTAATTAATTTATAATTACTAAATAATATAATTTAAAGTTTACTTAATAATACTGTATATATTTATAAGTTATAAATTTTACAGTGTTATATAAAAATTTAAAAATTTACTGTATTATGGTAGAAATATTTAAACATCATTTTTTAATATACACTATATTTGATACACTTTTTTTATGGCTTAAAAAATTTACTAAGACAATCTTTATTAGAACCTTGGATATTTCTAATATAGTTCATAATTATATTTTAACTAATTTTAATCTAAATTTGCTAAAAACTAAAAATTTACATATCTCAAAAATCAGTAATCAGAATTAAATGAACTTTTTTTTGTTAAATATATCTTGCTAAAAGTTTTTACTTAAAAAAATTTATCTAAATTAAACTACTAAATGCTGAGATAATTACAAAAAAAAAAAAAAACATTTTTTTACTTTTAAAATTTGAAGATTTTCACTAAAAATATAACCCATATTATGCGGCTTATACGAGATAATTACAGTATATACAGTAAATCTCCTATGAACCAAAAAATGTATTTTAGCATATTCAGTTTTTAGTGATAAATTATATCAAATTTACTAACACAAAATCCACCAACAGCTGTAGTTTTATTATTTATCATATTTATTAAATTAATCTTATGAAATGGACAAAAAAATGATGCAACCATCTCGCGCAAAGGTATATAATTAGATGAAGGTGGCCAAAGGCCACCATTATGACATAGAATCTGTGAATAAATCAGCGATTGTTATGATCCCAATAAGAAAATTTTAAGTTTTAAAATTAAGGAATTAGGTCATGATTAGCAATTTATCAATTCAATCAGACACATGAACTATAGTGGCAAATGGCCAATCAAAGCATTATAATCATGTGCTATACGCCAAGGAAAAACTGACCCACCTAGTATCGCCACCAAAATCAGTTACGTATAACGGAGCTTAAATTTATTGTCAATATTAAAATTAATGTTTAATACAATAATGACGGCACTCATATGTAACAATTTACGATGAAATTTTTATTTCTTTGAATATCCTAATACAAAATATTTACTAAAATAGAACACACGCAACTTTGTTCATCTTGTCAAATTACGAAACCAAAAATTGCATTTCAAAAATAATAATAAATCATGTTTTAAGTGTACAACCCGTGTAAATGAAGCAAAAAAAACAGAAACGTGAGGATCAAATTTTAAATGATATTCGCAAGCAAAAAGAAAATGCTATAAAATCGAAGAGTTTGAATATATAGTTTATGAATAACTTAAGGATGTTGGAGAAAGCAATATGTATATGGATATTGAAATAGTTGTAGATATTATTTTTCAAACAGTTAACGAATTAGAAGTAAATAACATGGATGAAGCTTTTGCAAGTTCATCGTCATTATATTATGGTTTAAAATTTCTAAATCTAATTACCGTAAATTCTCGAAATAGCGGGCAGGGGCGTTATTTCGAAAATCGCGCCCCCTAAAAATAGCATAGGTGGTTTCGAAATAACGCCCATGCGTGTCCCGAAATAGCGCGCACTTCGAAGAGCAAGTACGGGCAAATATCGGAGTACAAAACTCCCAATATGCACCTGAATTTTACCGCTAAATATAACGTATCGGTAGCATATCAGAAGTCTTGTATCCGATATTTATCTGATACTTATTCATTCGACCTGTTTATAACATTATTTTGCAGAATTAATCCTTTATCTCGAAATAAAACCCATGAGCGTATTCGCTCGTAGTCATAGCGCGCAGATGCCCGCTATTTCGAGAATTTACAGTATGCTAATTTAGGTACAATGCAATTCTCAATATCCTCTCATTATGGAAGCTAAAGAAACTTTATGGAATATCAACCTTAATCAATTACACATATGTCAATTTAACGATCGATCTGGTAAATTCTGAAAACCAAATGAAAGAATCGAGTACTGAAAATAGTGAATCCGAATCTGAAATTTTAAGAAAGTGTAAAAACTCTTCATGAGGTATAAAAAAATGTTTTTTTCATTATATTTCCATGTTTAAATAAATTATTTATTAATTTTATGTTTAGTCGAACTTTAAACCTATTCAAAAAATGGTAGATGACATTAAAGATTTTGAACGAGCAAGAAAGCTTCCAAATACTTGGAGTGGACGTAGCAAAATACCTTTTACTAGTAGCATAGAGAATTCAAATTTAAAGCTTTATACGTGTATTAAATAAAATTTGAATTTGGATGTAAATGCATTCTATACATTTGAATTGAGTGTAGTTTGACTTATAACTTGTAGCGATAATTAAATAAGTTGAATAAATATATATATAAAAAAAACTTCAAAAATCTTGTGATCTCGTGATTCTATTATTCTTGTGCGCAGATTGAAATTTAAAAAGCAATTACGTGAGGTACTAGGCGAGTTGGTATTCCCTTTGACGGCACTCATATAAGTTGAAAATTTAAAAATTTGGGTTTTCTTGGAAAATTGCTAAAAATTTGGATTCAAAGTTTTCGTGTCCCCAAAATGAGGCCTTCGCTAGGAAAATCATCATATCGCTGGTACACAAGATTTTTTAATTAGGAAAATTCTAATAAATCTATTTTTAAATTTTTTTTTCTAAACAAAGTATGGCGATAAATTTTAGCCATTTAATTAAGCTATACACACTATATTCACCTGATAAATGCCAAATTGTGCGCCCGGATAATATATATTTTTAACACTAAAGTACATGTATATGCAGATGTATCTGTAATATGGACCAAACGACAAAAAAAAAACATTGCAAATCAATTTTGTATACTTAGAAATAGCTGAAATAACGAAATTATACGTATTAATATATGGTAGTTACCTAATTTTCTCAACGCATAGAAATCCAAAAAATTGTTCTTTGGCAACTATACTTCTTTGCTTCAAAACAAAAAAAGAACACATGCCTAATTCTTTCCATAATTATCGCTATTACGCAATTTGTGTCGCATCTTCAAAAGTTTTTTATAGACGGTTTTACTATTGTTAGAAACAAAAATAATTGAAAATGGAATTAGAAATTTATTATAACCTTGTATGTTACAAGATGTGACTATTTTGTAAACTATTTTATAAATTACAATTTTTTTCAAAATGGTGAAAAGCGTCTAAAAATTTATCATATACATTTGTATGTTTTTTTTTCATTTTACCATTGCGAACACTTGAAAGGCTTTTAAAGTTTAAGCCACTTATATCACGATCAAGCAAGAATAGTTACAAGTTTCTTTTTATGTAATCTGGGCTTATAATAAACGATTATTTATGAATGTGAGTACCTTCGATCAAAAATATTTACACTTTCGATCTGATTTTTTATCTCGAATATTATTATTATTCTTTCTATTTATTGTCATTTTCTTCATGCAATCTAATTATATTCAATAAGATAAATGGTCGAATCTTTTTTTTTTGGATTAGATTAGCTCCCTTTTTATTTCCTAAATTCATTATTCTGTAAAATTTAAAGCTCTATACTCTCGACTTTCAATAAAAAACAAAATATGCGCACTTTAAAATCTTTGATACTTCTCGTGATAGTCGTTTTGACAACTATTACCAATATTTCATTTGCTCAAAATGGTTTGTTTTCGTAAAATTCTTTACGATCATACATATTTAAAAGAATTTAAAAGATACTTACTTATAATGTTTTCGATGGGGACTTTTCGAATAGCTTCGGATTATTTAGTCACTTCATTGCCTGGTATTCCTCAAAATTCTAATTATTCAACTTATGCCGGGTAATGTTATATAATCATACTTTATTTAGAAATAATGAAATTGTAAAACGTGTCATTACTGAAATAATCATGTTTCATTTCGTATTTGTAGTTACATAAATACATTATATGGAACATCAAATTCTTCTATTTTCTTTTGGCTTATAAGAAATCAATTTACTGCTGATAAACAAAGGCTTGTAAGTTTCATTTATTTTTTTCTTTTTATTGGAAAGAAATTGATCATAGCATTTATTAAGCAAAAACTAAAACTTAGATTATTTGGCTTAATGGTATTTTTTTACAATTCAAATATTGTTAACTATCAAATAATAATCATCTTTAATTTTGTTTAAAAAAATAAAGATCCAGGATGGTAAGTAACCTTTTTCAATTCTTCTTGAAAGATTTTAGTATTTATATATATGTTATTAAATATCAACTTTTTATTAATAAACGAATTATATAGTTCAAGGTAGGCATATTTTTTTTTTATCAATCTATTGTTTTATTATTTATTATTCATTATTCATTTAAAATTTTCTCTTTAAAGTTTGAGTGGTTTATTTCTTGAAATTGGGCCATGGAGATTAACTAATAATCAAACATTGACATCAGATACTGATTCATGGAATCAATATGCTAATTTGTTATTTGGTAAATATTGAAAGTGGCTACAAAAGTATTATCCCATATTATTTCTCTGTAATATTAAAATATAGATTTTTTTTTTAGTTGATCAACCTGTTGGATCTGGATTTAGTTTTACCTTTAATTCTAGTAATTATTTGAGAAATTTTACTTCAGTAAGAATTTATATAAAAATTATCTTTCAAAAAATTTTAATAATTGAAATAAGTGATGTATATATAGTATAAAATTTTTCAATATAGGAATCAACCGGATTTTTATCATTTCTTGACGCATTTATTACTATCTTTCCAGAATTTGCCCAAGAAGAAGTAAGTCAATATTTCCAGTTTCAACCAACTTCAAGTTAACAATATTTAGTATAATATTAATTTATGTTTTTTTGTAATAAATTCCTTCATACCTTAGATGTATATAGCAGGGGGAAATTATGCAGGAACACTTATAAGCTATGTAGCCAGTGCTATATTGGCACGCAATAATCAAACAAGTACACCTACTAATTTAAAGGTATTCGTGAAAAGAACTAGTTATTTGAATTTTTTTTTTAACTTAAAAGAAATAAGACGAGTTTGAAGAATAAATTTTAAATGGTTTAATTATTTAGTATAATTTACAAGGCATCGCAATCGGAAATGGATGGATTGATCCTTTGACACAGGTATCATAATTTAATCTATTCTTCCTTTCCAGTTGGCTTATTTGTTAAGAATATGCTATGTTTGATATTGCGTAAGTGATACGTATTTTAAACGTTTAACCGTTTAAACAGTATAGGTCTCAATACATCTATGCAGTTAGTAATAATCTCATAAGTGGAATTTATCAGGTACTTTCTTATTGCGTGATTATGTTAAATATGATTTAAATAAATCCTATCCCTTTATTCATAACTCTATACGTGAACAATAGCTGCTTATTGAAAAACAACTAGAATTATGTTTAGAAGATTTAAGAAACAGTACAACAGTACGTGTTGGATCTTGTGAACAGACGTTTGGACTTATTGTTAACAGCACTGAAATTGGGTAAAGCATTTTTAAGTGATATTAAATATAATAATATTACAGTATTAAAATTTAAACCAAAATTTAAAAAACTTAGTTTTCTTTTCTTTTTTATACTTGGAATAGAGATGGAAATAACGCGACTTGTATAAATAAGTTTGATATTAGAGATCATACTAGTAGATTTCCTGCATGTGGAGATGATTGGCCTTATACTCTTCCTACTCTTCAAACATATTTAAATGTACCTTTTCATTAAAAATTTTTATTATTTAAAAATTACAACTCAATACTGATTTATATCGTATATATTTAAAGCGACAAGATGTAATCACAGCAATTCATGCCAATGTCACAAACGTAACCTGGAGTGGGTGTAATGCGCCTGTAACTAACCTTTTGTATAATGATGATCAATCCGGACCTGCATTTAATGTATGTTTTTAAGCAATCTTTTTTCTTTTAAAAAAAAAGGAGCGTTAAAGGATTGAGATAATTGATTAAATGCTATATTACTCTTAATAATTTCAAACAGTTACTTCCTGATATTTTAAGACAAACAAAAGTTCTAATATATGAGAAAGTATCAAATTTATTTCTTATAAATTCTATTTTTATCATATTACCAAGAAAACTTTTCTAACATTTTATTTAATCAATTATAGTGGAGACCAAGATTTAATTTGCAATGTAAATGGATCTGCATCTTGGATTAGGAGAATGACATGGAATGGTGCAATAGGATTTCAGGTATTATTATTTATTCAAAATCATAAAATAAGTACTATTTATTCCCCGCTTCGCGGGGAATAAATGATTATTCTCCCGTTTTATTAATTGACGACCGGAGGCTATTTCCCAATTGAGTTTGAATTAAGTTGTGCCCAAAAATAATAGCGAAAACCTCGTAATGAACAATTAGTAAAACGGGGAATAATAAAATATTGCTCATTCCCTCTCTTATTCATGTCATTTATATATTATTATTATTGCTATTAATTTTATAAAAGAACCAAACCACTGCTCCATGGATTGTAAATAACGTTATATCGGGTCGAACGATATCAGAAAGAAACCTTACATATGTTACTGTATATAACTCAAGTCGTATGGTTCCTGTAGATCAACCAAGGATTAGAGATATTATGTATAGGTTTATGGGATTAAGTCAAAGTCTTTTGCCAAGTTAAAAACTTTTGTAAATAAAATAAAAATCACGGCTAATGCTGAAATTTGGGCCTGTTAATATGAAATTATAAAAATTTCTGGGAGTATTTTTTAATTTTGTTATAAAAAAAAGTACTAATAGAGACCTAAATTTCAGCACCAGCTGAGATTAAATTATATTATAGTATTAAATACCAATATTTTAAAAATTTGTATAAAATGTAGATTAACATAAATATTAAATAAAATTAAAATTTAAGGTTGAATTAGTCAAAACATAGGGTTATACCAAAATTTTACAAGAAATTTTTAGAAAAATATTTTTTATTTATAGTTGCGTTAAATCATAGAAGCCGCAAAATAGATCAACATTAAATCACAAAATTAAGACTTAATCACCGCAAAATCATTCCTGAACTAACAAAACAGATAAAATCAAAACAATCATATTTAAGCATTAGGTTAAAAGAGAATTATGTCAAATTTTACAAGAAAATTCTTTCTATGAGGGTGCAAGTAATAGCTTCATATCAATTCGACAATATTCCTGATTCAGCGTACTTGGTCAACTGTGGATTGACTCACGGATTGATTCGCTCTGGTTGCTATGATTCATTCTGGGTCACTACCACATCTACCCAGCTTCAAGTTTGACAAAAGGGTGCCCGATTTTTTGATGTGAAATTTCATACCTTTTTAAATTTTCCTTTAACTAATATTTCAATAAGTCAATTGTGCTTTACCAACTTTTATGCATCATATCGGTAACTGATTTATCCCATTATTTCTGCATCTATCCGTTTTTTACTAATTTAGAAATTGATCATGAGTAAAGTGAATGATGAAGGAGTCAATTTTCAAGCGCGAATATAGGTGCGCGTTATTTCGGAGTGCCATTTTTTAAGGGACCCGATTTTCTTCGAATACAGTATATATATATATTGGTATATAATATTGTAAAAAAAAGAAAAAAGTGGTTTTTTTATGATCAAGATATAGTGTGCAATCACGTTTCTTATCGTTACGAAGTCACGTTTTCCGTCATAATACTTGCATTTTTTAACAATTCTGAATTGCTTTTAAAAAGGTTCTAATAATTCTGAAAAAGATTCTAACAATTCTGAACTACTTTAAACCGCATTCTTAACAATTCTGAATTACTTTAAAAAGCACTCTTAACCATTTTGAATTTTTAAAAAAAACCTGGCCTGATTTATAGCTGCGCGGGTAATACAACCTCTAAAAAGGAAATGGCCAATCAGAAAATGGGTATTCGCGAAAGAAGAAAAGAAAAGAAAGCAAAATTACTCAAAAATTAGTGTTTAAATCGACCTTGGAGAGCTAATAAAAAATAACGGGGATGAAATTTTACATATAAGAAACTTCAACTCATCGCTGAAGCTCACAAACCTAACGTCCTAATCCTAAACTTCTATTTATTTTTACGCACTTAGTTTATTTACAAAATTCGATTTCCTTTTTTGGGTTGTGTTACCCGCGCAAATAAGTAAAATCCATACGTATCTGATATCCCGCGCAGGATTACGCGCGGTGCCCACCGATACGGAAAATGCCTTCGTGTATCCGTCATCGGCCGTCGACGTGCTAACTCGCTTTACATAACAGCTGTTATCATAAATTCTGGGACAACTGAAAAAAATTGTTTCGATAAGTTTTTGGATTCGGTATTGGATTTTGGCATTACAGCAATGTCGATAATACCGAGTTCAAAAACTTATCGAATTCGGCCGAATGATCATCCGGGCAATTTTTATCATTGTCCCAGAATTTATGAGAACAGCTGAAATTCTGGAACAACTGAGAAAATTGCCGATGACCGAGTCGATAAGTTACCGAGTCGGATTCAATAAGCAACAGATTCGGCCGAACTCAGAAACTTATCGATTCGGTCATTGGCAATTGTTCCAGAATTTATGAAAACAGCTGTAAATTACGCTGACGCATATATATTTATGAAAACAGCTGTAAAATACGCTGACGTATATATTTATATTTACAGGAAAAACGTCAGCAGGTTTTCAGTGAAGCTTACTAAAAAGAAGGCTAGATTTTTCCATAAAGAGGACTATGTCCATTTAAAAATTTTACTTGGGCAATATTCATGTTCATATTTTGTACACTTATTAAACCTTTTCTAGCAAACAATTTACCCTTTCTCGTGTTTCTTGAAAGTATTTCAGAATTTTACTCGTGTTTTATGTTCAATGACTTCCATTCAGAATACAGTCACACCTCTATAAGTGCATCCTGTCGGGACCATAGTGAAAAAAATTAAAATTTTGCACTTAGAGGGTGTTTGCATTTATAGAGAATAAAATATATAGGACTCTTATAAGTTGGGGCCAAACATGATTATGCATTTAGAAAGGTTTTATATAGTATTTGCACTTAGGGAGTGTACACTTAGGGGGGGTGTGACTGTAGTATATAAAGTAGAGCTATTAAGAGGTGTGGCGACTTATGGTGCTGCTTACTTCACCAACAATCATTTTACTGAAAGTTTACTTAGCTAATATCACATAGAATTAGAATTAGCATTTTATTAATTGCAGATATATATTTTTAGAAAATTGTCACTTGGTGTGATGTCAGCTAAATAAGCTTTCGGTGAAATGATTGTCAGTGAAGTAAGGTGGATCCGGCGACTTAGTGTAGTGGTTTAGTTGTTACTCTCTCCAAGTGGCAGATCTGGAGTTTAAATCCTACTAGTAATAATATTTGAAAAATAGGCTTGTGTTCAGTTGATGGCTATGCTTATTGGTGTGATGATATTTGAAAAATAGGCTTGTGTTTAGTTGATAGCTATGCTTATTGGTTGGATCTAGAACTAAATCTGTAACTTTGGTCATACCATCTAGTAATGAAAGCTTTGGCACAATAAATCTAAGAACTGGCATAACCAAAAACCCATTTGGAAAGTCATGAATTTGGATATAATAGTGATCTTTGACGGTATTACAGGAGGGCTGAATTTGAACTGGGGCCTGAGATTGGAGAACTGAGCAACCAGGCCCTATGGCAAAGAACACACTAGCTGAATCACCAGGTTGTTGTACCGGAGAAAAAGGGTATACGCTCTGAAAGTATAAACCAAGAGGAGGGCGTCTTTCAGATACCTAAAGCCTAAGCAAACCAACTCTTCTAGGTTGCTAGCTAGAAGTAAGAGAGGAACCAATAGAGAATTCAGATAAGGAGATAGTTTCAAGTATGGGTACCAGGGTGTTGTGAACTGATTAAGGGCAATAAGTATGTAATGAAAAACTAATTAAAAAGGTTTTGGCTTGAGATATGGATTAGGTTATAGCAATGCTTTAAAGGGCAGCTTGAAATATAAACTTGGTGATGGTAGCACAACAGATACTAACTAGAAAAATATTACAGAACAAGCAAGTAAATGCATGTGTAGAATATGCACTGCTCTGTTGGGCTTATCTTCGAAGATAGTAAAGTGTTCTAAGTTGGCTGATTATGTAGTGATGTTGCAAAACCTATATTTGAATAGTGAGTTACACCTATGTTAAGATGGGCCTTAGGCCGAATATATTAAAACTAGAAGGTTTAAATGGGTACTTCTGTAGTTGGGGTACAGGTACAGCAAATAGTGTAAAACCTTTAGTATGCACAGCCACTTTGGGCAGACTACTTAAATTAAGCACCAAAAGTGTATATGTGACTTGATATACCTTCATTACAATGTATAGTATCTGAACTCGATTTAATAAAATTTGCCGACCAAGAAGATCACCTTTAATTAAAAAAAAATAAAGTAGAGCTATTAATAGAATGATCCAGAGCGGTATAATGTATACTCTGCTAGAGTAACTATCAAAACCAAATCACATCAGAGCTATTACTTCAGATTAAACTTTATAACTTTATTCAGAGTATATTACTCTAGATTAATTTTATAGTATATATATATATATTAAACTAGTTTGCTAATTATAGTTTAGAATTTAGTATTTAGAACAACTTTATTTATTATAATATTAAATATCTTGATAAAATTCTTGATAAAATAGTTATATTTTTAATTTGAAATAGTATTAATAGTAGTTTTAGATTTAGCAAACTGGAGTGGTATAGTATACAAACCATACTAGCATGGAGTAGTTTATACTTCTAAATTACTTTGGAGTATAGTACTCTATTAATAGCTCTAGTATGAAGACAAGATTATCTTAATAGAGAATTTGATACCTTTTTTAACACTAAACAAAAAATAATTTAAGCAAAGAATTATAAATGCTATAAACAATTTTTAATTATTTGTCTAGAAATTATTAGAACTAGTATAAGAAATATAATAAATATATAAATTATATAAAATAAAGTAATACTTTCTAGTAATATTTTAATTAAAAGCATTATAATAAAAATACCAGGGTTAGGATTCCATAGCCTAGTGGTCTAGGCGCCTAACCCTCCACAGACGAGGTCAACGGTTCGATTACAGCTAGTGGTAATTAATTTAATTAATTATCTCTATAACTTACAGGAGCTTTCGAATGCGAAACCCTGTGATGAT